ACCCAAGCCCTTGCAATACCCCATTTATGTCTTTGTCACCAAATTTTCCTAAATGGATCTGGGCAGAAGGGTTCAGTCTAAAGAAACAGATGTTGGGGGTGGAGAGATGGATCTGTGGTTAAGAGTACTAGCTGCTCTTGTAGAGGACCTAGGTTCAGTTCCCAGCACCCACAAGGTGGCTAAAAACCATCCTTAACTCCAGTTCTAGGGGATCTGATTCCCTCTTCCAACTTCCAGAGGTATTGCACTAAATGGACGCACTTACATACATGCAGGCAAAACACTCCTACACATAAAATAAATTAAAACCTTTTAAAAGAAATGGGTGTTCTACATAGATAGAAACACTGTTTTCATATTCTGGAAAACAATGATTTTTCAGAAGGAATCCATGTGAATCCAGCAATATAAAAAGATTGGCTGTGTTCTTTTATCCTCCTCACTGCCTAAGCATAACCTAGAGCAACAACAAAATTAGAAGTCCACTTATACCCTTTCCCCAGCATTTATCTGCCTTTTAAACAGGAAATGATAAACTTGGAGCTTTGTTGTTGTTTGGTTGGTTCTTTCAGACAGGATCTCACTCTGTAGGCCAGGGTGGCCTAGTACTCTCTGTGTAGTCCAGATTAGCGTTGAACTTAAAGCAAATTTCCTGCCTCCACATCCTGAGTGTTGGGAGTACAAGTGTGAACCACCACCACACCAGGCTAGGTTTCAGATATCGAACTACATTAAACTCTCACATCTTAGTAAACTAAAGATAGCTCCAATTTCTTAAATACATTATTTTTTTTTAGCCCCATGGTGCTGGCAATGGAACCCAGAGCCTTATACATGCTAGGTAAGTACCCTACCACCAAAGCTACATTCCCAGGCCTTAAATAAAAGTTTTCCATGCTAATAGTGTTATTACCTAGGATGCCTGCTCTAGTTTTCTTCCAATTGCTCCAATAAAAGCACTCTGGCTAAAAGCAACTTAGGGAAGGAAAGGTTTTATTTAGCTGACACTTCGAGGTCACAGTCCATCATTGCGAGAAGTCAGGGAAGAAACTCAAGCATGAACTTGAAACAGAAACCATGGAGAAAAATGCTTATTAGCTCAATCACAGGCTAATGCTTAGCTAGCTGTTTTATACAGCCTGGAACCACCTTTCTAGAGATGGTGCTGCCCACTGTGGGCTGGGCCCTCCTACATGAATTAACAATCAAGACAGTCTCCCACAGATGTGCCCACAGGCCTATCTGAGCTAAGCAATTTCTCAATTAAGATTCTCAGAGGACTCTAGGCAATGTCAAGTTGAGGTTTAAAGCTAACAAGGTTGATTAAATTCTTCTGAATGTATGTCATTTTTTCATTTTTTCTTTTGAAGTTGATAAAAGGTATACATGTTTATGGAGTACCATGTGATGTTTGATACATGTATGTATTATAGACTCATCAAAACAAGTGAATTAACATTCCTATCATCACATACTTATCATTTCTTTGTGATAAGATTGTCTAAAACTCATTTTTAGCAATTTTTAAATGCACAATAGGTTAACTATAGGCACTTAACTATGGAACAGATTACAAGAATGCATTCCTCCTCTCTAGCTACAACACTGTACCATTTGACCAATATCCCCCCTTTCCCCACTGAATATAGATAATTTATGAAGCCTAATTTAGATTCATTCCAGATTTTTCTCTTTTTCTTTTTCCAGCTCCTTAAATAACTTCTCCAGAGACCTCTAGTCTTCATCCACATTGTAGCTGAACCTTAGGATTTGTTTCACTTCTTATTCTCACTGCTGAGACCAAAAACCTGACAAGAAGCAGCTTGAAGAAGAAAGTACAGTCCACCATGTGGGGAAGGTATGACAGCACAAAGAGCTCTCTACTGTGGCAGCAGGAGGGTGAGGCAGCTGATCACATTAGGTCCTCAGTTAGAAAGCAGAGAAGAACGCATTCCAATGTTCACTCACTTTCTCCTTTTTTCCCTTTTTACTCTGTCTGGAACCCCAGGCAATGGGATGGTGCCACCCACATTCAGGGTGAGTCTTCCATCCTCAGGTAAATCTCTCTGGAATCTCCCTCACAGACACAGTCAAAGCTGTGTCTCCTAGGTGATTCCAAATCCAGTTACCACAGCATTTCTCAAGACATCAAACCTTTATTTCTAAAACAAACACTGAAATTGAAGATATGATTGGATTCTAGACCTTTATGAAATTAGTGGGAAGAGACTCTACACATTTGGAAATTCATTTTTGGAGAAGGGGAAGAGCGTCAATTTCTACTTCCTCAGTCTCAGCTAGGGCGTCTCTCATGAGCCCCAAAGCCACATGCCCAGCTGTTTGCTGAGCTGTTCTCCTCAGGTGGCCCACAGGCACTTCATGATCACATGCATCACCAGCCTCCTCCTCTTCCCTATTTTGAAAATGGTATTTTTGGTTTATTCTTTGAAATTTTTGTACATTTATACAATGTATTTTGATCATATTCATCCTTTATTACCTCCCTCCAGTTCCCCTTCGTGCCCCTATCTCATCTCCTTCTCAACTTCATGTCCTCAATTTTGTACGTTATTGATAATCAGAGTCCAATTAGTGCTATACATAGATGCATGGGTGTAGGTCCATCCACTAAGGCACAGTCAACCTATTAGCAGCCATATCGCCAAAGGAGTGACTTTCCGTCCCTCAACAACAACCCATTGCCAATAGCTCTTCCACCAAAAGTGGGGCCTTGAGAACCACTCCCTCATTCATTTGGAATTTTGACTGGCTTGATATTGTACAGGTCTTGTGCAGATAGCCACAGTTGTTATGAGTTGATATGTACAACCATGTTGAGTCCAGAAACCAACATTTCACAATCTCCTTATTTGCCAGCTCTTACCTTCTTTCTGCCCACTCTTTCTCAATGTTCCCTGAGCCTTAGATGATTCATCCACAGATGAGCACTCACATACTTAGTTAGCACTATGGCCATTTAGGAGTCTCTGTATTAACCATTACCTACTGTGAAAAGATGTTTCTCTGACCAAAGTAGAGAACAACACAAATCTAAGAGAATAAATGGAAATATTTAGAAGGTAGATTGGCTGCATGACTATTTAACATAGCAACAACAACAGTAGGTTCCCCCACTAGAATCTATTATCTCTCCCCATGAGATTTTGACAAGGTTTACAGTACAAGGCATGAAATTCTTCCTGTCAAGCAGGGCTCATACTCAATAAAGAAGCAGTTGGTTTTCCCCACAGCCATCATGGCATTATTGTACCAGTGAGCACATCTTTCCAGGAAGGTCTTACCCACCACTGGGTAAGACTGTTGATACATTTCATTGATATCTTTTCTTCCCCAGTAGCCTGCGTAGCACCTTCTGGCACTATGTAAGCTAGCCAACAAGAAGAAAGTTTCCTGATCAGTTGAGGCCGATTTCTCTGTTCTGCATTCAAAGCGAGTAGTGTCTTCAGCAATAGGGTCTTACCAGCTAGTAAGATAATCAACCAAGAGCAATGGCAGTAGCCTGTATTGTTTTGGGTGCCTCTGGGGCCTCTATGACCAGTAATGTATAGGGAAGTATTCTGTGCCTTGGATTGAGATTTTCATTTAATAATCTATGTTTTCTGGAAGTAGTATTGTTTGCTTATTCAAACACCTTTTTTAAAAAATCTATTTTTAATTAACCTACAAACTAGTGGCTCTCTATAAGACTTCTTCATACAACCTTAATTTTGGTTAATTCCCACTCTACCTTACCTCCCTATCCCAATCTCCTGTTATACTTTTAATCCTCTTCCCTTCTCCATCTCAGTGATCACATTGCTTCCAGTCCACGTATTCAGGCTATAAACCTACAGGTTTTGTCTATTATGATTACAATTGTTCTAATTTATTATTAGTTGCTGTTAATGTCTTACTGTGCCTAGTCTTTATATTAGACATTATCCTAGGTATGTATGGGAGATCTTGAAATGTGACTTGTGGATAGGAGAAGGGCAACTGTATGTTAATGTATGCCACTGTTTTCCACTGTGATTTAAGAGGGTATAATATCATTCTTGATATGAAAAACTACTTCACAAAAGTAACCTAAAGAAGGAAGAGTTTATATTGGTTCATGGTGTGAGGGTACAGTTCATCATGGGTGGCACTAAGAGTGGCCCTGTGACAGCAAGGATATGAGGGAGCTGGTCACATTGTGTCTACAGTCAGGAAGCAGTGATGAGTGCTGGTGCTCAGATGATGCCTCCTTTTTATTCAGTCCAAGACCCTAGCCCATGCGATAGTGCTGCTCACATTCAAGATGAGTCTTCTCTCCTTAGTTAAACCTCTCTGCAAACATGTCCATAGACATGGCTAGAGGTATGTCTCCCAGGTGATTGTAAATCTAGTCACGTTGACAAACAAGATTAGCATCACAGTCTTCTAAGCTCAATGAAATGTCCACAAACCAAGAATGCTGGTTCTGTTTAATCTCTGGGGCTGACTATACTAGGTCTGTCCCCTTTCCTGCAGTGGTCTCCAGACTGAACATCACACCTGCTTTAGCCTGAAGCCACATCATCTATAGATGGCTATAACTGAGCTAATCTGCCAAGGACTTTTGAAGCATTTTCTCACCAATTTCCAGGCCTTTTCCCTGTTGACACTTTCAATACCACACTGGACACCAACAGCATTTCTTTTTGAGAATGAGTTTTGCTATGTAGTCCAGGCTGAGCTTGAACTTCGAGTCTCACTACATAGTCCAGGCTGAGCTTGAACTTGTGATCCTCCTGCCTTGGCCTCTCAAGGGCTAAGATTACAGATATACATCACCACACCTGCCAGCAGCAGTATTCTTGTCTAGAATCATGTTCAATGCTCAAACATCATAGAAGTTAATTTGTCATACAAAATAATGACAGTCATGAAGTCACAATGAGGGCAAGAGCCCTCCTTGATGTCATTCTTTCTTTGTTAAAGGAGAAGAGGGGAAAACCAATCCAGTTCCTATTTTATTGTTTATTTTGTTGTTTCCCTTTTCAATGTTGTCTAATAAGCATCTTTAGATTTATTTTATACAGAATGATTGTATATATGTGCATATTTTTCAATTTGAAATTACCTTTTCTTCCTATTATAAAAGGGATCTATGACAACAAAACTTCTCATTGCATGACATAAAAGCCCTTTCCACAATGAACATGTAGAAATATCGTGTGAAGTACAACACAGAACATCAATTTCTCATTGTCTTCTCTGGTCTTCAATCATCCTGCTTCTCCTCCATTTCACTGAAGCACATCTTCCTTCTGATTTTCCTGAAGAAGCATGGAAAGAATGAGAAGTAATGACCTCATGCTTTACAAGCAGAACCCACTCCACCCTGCTGCCATTCCTGGTGATCACCCTCTGTCTCCTGCCTGTGTAGATGATGATGGCCCCAACTTTGTGTCTCCAAACCAGATGTCTTTAAACACAAAAATCCCATGCCCATGTATACAATGACCTCCCTTCTTGCATATTTCAAATCCTAAATTTAATATGCTCAAAACAAACTATTTATTTGTTTATTTATTTATTTATTTTGGCAGTACTGGGGATTGAACCCAGGGTGCTGCACATACTAGGTAAGCATTCTAACCTCCATTCACTTTTTACGTTTTATTTTGAGACAAGGTCTCCTAAATTGTCCAGACTGGCCTCGAACCAATCTGTAGTCTATTCAGCCTTCAACTTTCAATCCTCCTGCCTCCACCTCCCAAGGACCTAGGACTGCAGATCTGTGCTACCAGGGTCAGTGCAAGCTCCTCAGTGTCTGTCCTACAAGCCTATTCTTTTCCCAGAGTTCCCAGTCTCAGCAAATGGCTTCACCATTCAAGTACTTAAACCAGAAATGTGGCAGTCTCATCTGTGACCGCTCCCTTTACTGTATACCTTCCATCTGATCCTTCAGTAAATACTTTGGCCCCCACCTTTAAAATCTACATCTACCTTACCTTTTCTAGCCACTACCTCACTCTTTCTCATACTACCATCCCAGTCCAAAGAGCTTTCATCTCACACCTGCCAAACCACAATAGCCCAGAACTTTCCTCCCTGCCTCCACTCTTTACCACCTTGAGTCAACTTAACAGCCAAGTAATCCTTTTATTTACTTTTAATTTTTTATGTATGTGTATATATGTGCATGTGCATATGTGTCTATGTTCATGGATGTGCTTATGTGTGTACATGCATGTGGAGGGCAGAGGTAAACATCAGCTATTGTTTCTCAGGAGCCATACACCTTTTTTGAGTCTCTCACTGAGACTAGGGGCTCACCGATTAGGCTAGGCTGGCTGGCCAGTGAGTCCCAGGGATCTTCCTGTCTCTGCTTCCCCACTGCTGGGGTTATAAGCATGCACCATCGTGCCAGGTTTTTCTATGTGAGGCCGAGGATCAAACTCAGATCCTCATGCTCATGCTGCAAGCTGTTACTGAGCCACTTCTCTAGCCCCCCAACTAATTCTTTAAAACATAAGGGCTGGAGATGGCACTCAGTGGTAGAGCAGTTGCCTAGCATATGCCAGTTCTTGGGTTTGATTCCCCACACCACAAAAATGCTATTCATGCCATGCTCCTGTCTAAATCCTCCAACTGCTTCTTTTTCTAAGTAAAAGTGAATGCCTGTGTAACCCTGGCTGATCAGGTACTTTGCTGCCTCTAGAAAACAGCTGCTAACCCTGTTTCCCTTTCCCGCTCCAGTCACATAGGCTTCCTTAGTGTGTTTGGTATACACCATACATACTTGCACCTCAGGACATTTGCATTTGCTCTTGCCTTTGCCTGGAATACTCTTACCCAAATGATATCATAGCTTTCTTCCTCATTTAGGTTTCTACTCACTTTTGTCTGGTTGATTGGCTTTATTTTGTTTTGAGACAGGGTCCCATGTAACCTAGGCTGGCTCCAAACTTGTTAGATAGTTGAGGAGGCTGATCTTGAACTTCTTTTTCTCCTGCCTCCACCTCCAGGTGCATGTTGGGATCATAGGCATGTGCCAGCACACCCAGCTCACATGTCACTTTAGCACTGCAGAGACCTTCTCAGGACTCCTCATGCCCTTAACCTGCTTCAGTTTTCCCCATAGTAGTTCCACTTTCTGACATTATAGTACTGCATTTTCTGGCATATGATCTGTCTTCTTCAAGTGGAATATAAACTAGGAGAGCAGGAGCTTTTTCTTGCTCACTGCTAGATCTTCTGTTCCTAAGGCAGCTTCTGGCACATAGATGCTCAATAAATATTTGTTTGGAATGAACAGATGCATGAAAGGCATAGCTGAAACTACAAGAAATGAAGGTGCCAAAAAGGAAAGGGGAACTTTCAAACTTTGGGTAGTATGCAGACAACCTGTGTTTTTGTAATGTTAGATTCAAGCTCGGGGGCAAAACTGTTGGTTTTCTTTCAATGCTATTCTCCTGTCTGCTGTAGGACACAAGGCCCCCTAGAGTAAGAGCCACCATGACTAACTTCAAGCAAAAGGGATATAAAAGCAAATGCCATGTCAAAGTGACCTGGGATCTTCCTTAAGAGATAGCTGCCAGCTGGGCATGATTGCTCACTCCTGTAATCCCAACACTTGGACTGAGGCAGAAGGATTGCCTCAGGAGTTCGAGGCCAGCCTGGCCAAGACAGTGAGACTGTCTCAAAAAGAAGTGTCTTTTTTTTTTTTTTTTTTTTTTTTGTCTTTTTGAGGCAGGGTCACCCTGTAGCCCCAGCTGTCCTGGAACTCACTATGTAAACCAGACTGGCCTCAAACTCACAAAGATCCGCCTGCCTCTGCCTCCCAAGTGCTGGGATTAAAGGTGTGTGCCACCACAACCGGCAAAAAGAAGTGTCTACTTGCTGCCTGCCCAAGTCCTGGATTCTGAGGTCCCTTGAGAATACATAACTACTAATAACGATTCTTTAAACAGAATATACAAAAAAACAGTCCAAAGGTAGAGTTAATAACCTGAGTGTATGTATTTCTGGTTTATAGGGGAGGAGGTTCGAGACAGGTTTCATCATGCAGCACAGACTGGCTTTGAACTTGCAGTCCCCAGCCTTAGCCTCCAGAGTGCTGGGACCACAGAGTGGGCACCATGCCCAATACGCGTGCGTGCGTGTGTGCGTGTGTGCGTGTGTGCGTGCGTGCGTGCGTGCGTGCGTGCGTGTGTGTGTGTGTGTGTGTGTGTGTGTATGTGTTTGCAGGCTAGATCCCTGGAGCCCATTGGCCAGTCAGCCTAACTAAATTGGTGAGCTTCAAGCTCATCAAGAGAATCTCTCTCAGTGAGGTGGAGAATGGTCAAGGAAGATTCCCAATGTCAACCTCTGGCTTCCATCCAAATGCACACCCGCGTGCACATGTATCTGTATATACTCATGAAAACACACACATTATACACATAAGCACATACACACATACCATATGCTTGTTCACAGAATAATAATAGTAATAAGTATGTTGTTAGAAACCTTATTTGTATTAGATAGAAAAAAAGAAAAACAGGAGCTACTGAGGGTCTAAGTCCAGGCAGCCAAAGAGTACAGTAAGCAAGATGAACAAAGATGCGCAGATGAGAGCAGCGATTAACCAAAAGTTAATAGAAACTGGAGAAAGAGAATGCCTCAAATAGTTGTTGAGAGCTAAATTAACTGAATGTGGCTGGAAGGATCAGTTGAAGGCACACTGTAAAGGTAATTAAAGAAAAAGGACTAGAACACCTAACTGTTGATGACTTGGTGACTGACAGTGCAAAGGAGGAACTCCTACAAAGAATAAGAACATTCCTTGCTCAGCATGCCAGTCTCTAAGGTTGAATTAGAATGTGTTGCTCTGTGGATTTATTTCTGAAAGTAAAACTTGCCATAAATTAGAAACCAATTTCCCAAAGTAAAGTCCTTTTTTGTATGATGGCCTAGAGCTACATTGATCGGCATGAACAAGTCTCACCAACTCAATGCTGAGTGAATAATGCAAGTTTGGGAATTATCATTTGTACATAGCTTAAAAATACATAGAACAACCCTGTATATTATTATTTTAATGTATATTTAATTGAGTTTTGTACATTTCATATCTTAATCAAATTTAGACCTCCTGCCTGATCTGTGCCACCCCATAGTCCCACCGGATTTCATGCACTCTGTCATATATGTTAAGGTCTATCCTGTCAAGATTTTGTACATCTGAATGTCCCTCATGCAAATTCATCCACTGGAGTCTAGTCAGCCTATCTAGAGTCGGAGACTCCCTTAAAGAAGAACAACTCTCCCTTACCCAGCAGTAAGGGGTCGTCAATAGTTCCTTGCTAAGGTTGAGGCCTGCTGCCCATTTCTCCAGTTCTATTCTAAGTTTTTGTCTGATTGAGTCAGCATGGGTCTTGTGCATGCTGTCACCATTGCAGGAAGTTCATATGAGCAAGTTCCCAGAGGCCTGAAAGCCTCTATTTCCTTACGTTCGTGCACCAGCCAGCTCTTACAATCTTTCCACACCCTTTTCTGCAGTGGTCCCTGAGCCATGGGTGGGTGAGATTTAACATAGGAGTCTTATCCAGGGACAAACACTCTGCAGTCTCTTATTCTCTACACCTTGGCCAGTTGTGGCATTCTGTGTGCATCACCCTCTGTTGCATGAGGAAGTTTCACTGGTGAGAGTTGAGAAATGCATTAGTATTCTCTCTACCTCCTGTTCCACTATGTTCCATGAGCCTTAGGTGTAGAGGTCCCACTGTAGATGTGTCACTTAGGGCTGGGCATCTCTCAGACACATATTCTCTGTGTTTAACCAGTTGTAGAACTCTGTAATAGCCTCCATATGTTGCAAAAAGCAGCGAGCACAGAGTGGAGGTGGCAAGTGAACAACCCTGTATTATTTATGAACATCCTCACTGTAATAATGGTAGAAAAGATTTCAATATAGCAGTAGCTCCAGGGAGATACTCTAGAAAGATACATATTTAATGTCATCTATGTTTGGGTTCTAAAATGAATGACAGAAGCTGATGGTATAGCTCATGACAGAACTATGCTAGTATATACAAAAACCGAGGTTGGATTCCCAGCATCAAAAACAAATTTTAAAGTCCCTAACAATCAAACAAAATAAAAGCCTCAGGTAAATATGACAAAGGATTACAGTTTGATAAAGCTAAGTAGTAGATATATGTGTCTCCATATCTTGATCTCTATAACTTTTATATGCTTGAAATATTAATGAAAAGCTAAAAATAAAAGTAATCCAATAATTAAGAAAAACATTGGAAAATGGAAAAAAAGTGTGTAATCTCATCAC